CACGTAATTGTGTTTTACGTTCTAGAATATATAATTTTTTTAAAAATAAAATGGATTATTCTTGAATTCAAACTTAAAATTATCATGAGATATAAAAAAAAAGGTATTCTTGATATTATGAATAAGAAGATTAGAGGATTTACTTGATTGAATATTCTTGATAAAGGTTGAATCAACAATTAATGTTGATTTCATTACTTAAAGATGAAAATACTTCGACTTCAAGAAAATTATTTTTTGTTGATCAAAAGCTGTATTTCTTTTTTTTAGTATAAGTTAAGAATGTTTAGAAAAGACATTTGATAAACCCTATTGTTTTTTGGATTGATAAGTATTCTTAAAATCAAATCTTGATAAAGACTTGTTCCAATGGACTTAGTGACAATTCAAAATATATGTTGACATGAAATATTTGAGGTTTTTGTGATCCATATACATGATGATTGGATTAGAAGTACTTTTTAAACAATGATGCCATTCAAATGTATAAGCAAAGCCACAATTTTTTAAAGAATAAAAATAAAAATAAAAAATGATGAAGATCTAGTAATAATTTATAAATATCAAAAAATATTATATATTTTTGATTTTTTTTGAGATTTTTAAATTTATGATAGTTTGGACTTTATTAGAATCCATTATAAGACCATTATTTGAAATGATGTATCCTAAAAAGTCAATTTGAATAGTATGAAATATACTCTTTTCTATCTTGGCATATAATCTTGCATCTTTTAATTTTTGTAATACATAATAAACATGAAGTTCACACTTTTTTATGATATTAGAGTAGATTGAAATATCATCTAAATAATAAATGATAAAATCATGAAAAAACTCACAAAAGACATCATTCATTAAATATTAAAAAACAACTAATACATTTGTGAGTATAAAAGATATGACATTATATTTCAAATGTCCATATTTGGTTTAAAATGTAGTTTTTTTATTCATCTCATTCTTAAATATGTACCAAGTTATATACTTTTTATAAATATATTTTTATATAAATCTTTGCTTGAATTGATTAATTAAAAAGTCTTAAAATCAAAAATAGAAAATATTTATTTTTGATGGTAATCTTATTAAGTCCTTGATAGTCCACACACATTCGAAGAGATTTGAATTTTTTCTTCTTAAATAAAATAAGAGACTTTATTGGAAATTTAGAATAGCATATGAAGTTCTTAGCCAAGTGCTTGTGAATGTATTCCTTGAATACAACCAAATTATTTTATGATAAGCTATAAATTAGTCTAAATGGTAGTTGAATTTTTTCTTGAAGATCAATGGAACAATCATAGAAAAAATACTTTAAATGAATATTTGTATTTTTTTTAAATATCTTGATAATATTGATATTAGCTTGGAATGCAACTTGAAATTCTTTTTTTTATTAAAAATAAGTATGGCATATATAGCAAAAGTTGATCTTTCTTTTGTAGCATACATAAAAGCTCTTCCACTTATCAATAAGAATTTGGATATATTAAGTTCATAAATTTTTATTTTACTAGTAGAATCCTAGATTAAATTAGGAAAAAAGTCAAGGTCACAAGAAATCTAGTCTATTTAAGGTTGTATTTTTTTAGCCAAGATAATCCTAAAATAATTAGATTAGAAAGAGATCTAATCATATTAAATATTACTAAGCTATTATGGTCTTTAGTTCCTAGATCTAAAAGAACTGTTTTATAAGTAACATTTTCAAAGGACAGTAAATAATTATTTATGACTTCTACATGCATAATTTTTTTTTTTAACTAAAATTATTTCTTATTTTTTAACAAAGGCTTCTTCTTTAAACTAAAATAAGGCTCTTGAATCTAATAAGGCAAAGACTTTGTGATATTTTAGTCCTAAAAAAACTTCTTTTGTAAAATAAGGTGAGGGATCTAAAGAAAAAATATGACTTTTCTCAGGTACTATGTAAGATTTGAGTTGCATGTTTTTTATTATAATTAAAAAAATCTTATTTTTCAACACATTGTCTTTTCTAGCAACTATGCTCATTATTTTGTGGTTGTATTGCTTCTTTGGACAATGTTGAGTAATATGCTTAAGTTCTCTATAATATGAGTATAATCCTTCTTCACAATGTCAAATCTTTTCTTGTTCAATAAGAGGTTTGAAATGTATTCTATTGATTTGCATAGGTTTTGGCCTTGATGAATAAGCTTTTGCAAACTTAGAAGTTGTCGCTATGACTTGACTTGTATCTCTTCAATCAAGCTTTTATTCTTGGTGTCTTTCACAGAGTCAATTCTTGCATGCAATGGCTTGAGAAATAAATTGCTCTAATGAATCTACTCTTAGTATTGTAAATAATAAATTTTTGATATTGTTCTTTCAACCTACATCAAAATTGATACATAAAGGCTTTATTATTCCAATCCATATTACAAGCAAGGTTTTGGAATTCTTTAGCATATATAGTAGTTAAACATGATCTTTGTTGTAAAAATAGAAATTTGGTCTTTGTTTTTATTTTTCAAATATGGCCATAAAGACTTCTAAGAATAAATTAAAATAATAAATGAGTCATGAATCCTTTTCCATTAAATGTACAAATGAAGAGAGAGTACTCCTAGATAGAAGTAAATTTATAAATCCAACTTGAATAAATTTGTCAAGATATTAGGAAGGATATAACTTTAGAAAGAGCTTCACTTATTGTAGAAATATTCAAAACTTTGATCTTGTTTCATCAAAATTTTCTAGCATACTTATCCTTGCCTCCCTTATACATGTAGAAATAAGACTTCTTACATTCAATTGTAAACTTGATCTACTTGTTTCTCTCAATTGCATAATTTTTTAGGATAGAATCTGAAGATCATTGTTAATTTCTTCTATAGGCATAGAAATAGTACCTCCATAGTTCACATTAAAAGAATGTGAGATTTTGACTCTAAGAGCATTGACAAGCTCGAGAAAATCTATAATAGTTGTAAATCTATTCACACTTCTGTTGTGAATAGCATCAATAATTTTTTCTTCTATAGAAGACTCAAATAAATTCATAAGTTTAATTAGAAGAGGATAATTTACAATTTCTAATATCAAATAAAAATTTCTACAAAAAAAAGTAGTCTACTTTATTCAAAGAAAAAAAATCAGTATTTAAAAAATTAAAAGTTAGTTTAAGTGTGAATAGTCCACAACCTTCAAAATATAATAATAGAAGTATAGTAATCCACTTACTTCTAAAATAAAACAAGAACAACAAGCTAGCATTCTTCTTAAATTATTAAAGATATTAATTTTAAAGTACTAAAAGATCAATAAATTCTTCTTCCACTCAAAAAGACTAAAAAATCACTCAAAGATAGTATAATGCTAAACTAGAATGGCTATTACCAAAGATAAGAAGATTAGAAAGTCTTTAAACAAGACTAAAGACTAAAAATGTATCAACAAGAGTAAAAAAGGCTTCACTCTTACTTCCATATATATTATCTAATTAAGACTTATGTAACAATATTCTATAAGACCTCCTATATGTGTCCAATTTGTGAGATACATGTCTTAGCTTGCAAGGCAAGTTTTTTATAAACATGCCACATCATTAGCTTGTATCATAAGCTATTTATACATGTGACACATGATTGACTTATTGGCCAAGTTTCTAACCTATCAATCAACTATAAACATGTATAAAGTCAAATATGTGTCTATCAAGCTTCTAAGAAGCTTTGCCATAAGATAATATCAAATCTACTTATATTTACCTTCTACCTAATTTTTTTTTTATCTAGATAAATATGTATGTCCATGACATGAGAACTTCATTCAACAAGTTAACCTAACAAGGAAACATACATATATTAAGAAAATTAAAACTATTTTTATCTAATTTGATTCTTTTTTTATATTTTATTAAATTTTATAACTTATAAATCATAAAGATTTCAATTTTAATTCTAATATGTGTTGAAGATTAATGCATGTTTTTTTTTGTTTTATCTATATTAAAAGAATAAAAATAAAAAATATTATAATTTTACAAGTTGAAAATAAAATATTATTACATAATTTTTTTATTTGAAGGTACAAGAATAAAGTTACTAATAAGTCTTAAATCATGAGTTGTATTAGCCCAATTACAAGACATTGTCATTCTTGTACTTATAACTTTTTCTGTTTGCAATAAAGATTATTTGTAGCAAAGAAATTTGTGAATATATTTAGAAGAATATTAAATAGATCCAAGCTTTTACTAAATTGACTCACCTACAATGAAGAATATGATAATCATGATGAATGTGGTTGGTTTTCATTGGTTGCAAATCTAATAGTAGAAAAATGAATCAAGAAGTTATTTTTATTTTATTTTTATGATGGTTAGGATGGATGGATTGATTTAGTAAATAAAATTTAACATTCTCCTATGTTTACTTATGTATGTGCAGTTAGTTTCTCCTACAAATTTCCTTTTGTTTACCTGCCATAGTTTTGGTTTTCTACAGTTGAAAATACATGAGCTGTAATCAATGCCTATTGCCAAATTTTTCAATTATGTTTCAAGCCTAACAGCTATACTTTGCTTTGGTGGAAACCTGCATCAAATATTAAACACACACGTTTTACTGCTTGGATCCAACTCCATAATCCTGCAGTACACTTCTGTTATTATCCCTTCACTAAAAGTTGCTGAAGCAAACAGCAACACAGTGTGATTCAGCAAACATTAATCACCATCCCTCAAAACAAAAACGACAAAAATATAAAATTGCCTCTTCGCATGTCTGAGGAATGAAGAATCGGTGAGAGCAGGAAGAGCCTTGATGGCGATGCTGGGCGATCACTCGCATCTTCGAGGATCTGCAAACTAATTTAAAAAGCTCGGTGTTGGAGATGATTGGTGAGACAAAGGTTGTTCGTAATTCTAATCTACTGGGTTACGATCCTGCATCGTAGCTCTCCATCTCAAAGCGCACTTGTAACCAATGGCGAACGCCGAGATGGATTCGGGGGAACTCAAAATGCACACTCCAGACATCTACAATCTTGTGGCAGACATGGGAGTTTTGTCTTTAGTGCACAAACCATGGAAGTGTTTTGTGAAGCTGCGCCATCACAAACCGAATGACGTAGCTGACACTCGCTTTCCAGTGGTGTGTGTGTGTGTGTGTGTTGTTTAAGCTTTTACAGGATTCAGAAGTGTATACATGCTACTTCTTTCTGGTCTGAATCTAGAGCTGTCCGGCTATGGCGATGCTAAGCTTGGGCGCTGCATCGTCCCTCTGTAATGGTGTCCTCGTCTCGTGCTCTCGAACAGCGAGATCCAGAAGCTCTATTGTCACGTATTCACCGACATGCTCTGTCAATCCGGAGTGTCAGGAGTTATCGGAGCCTGTGTCGCGGCGGAGTGTGCTCTTGCGAGCGGGTTGTGGCGCGGGGATTGTAACTGTGTCACTAGTTTCTGGTGCGGGAATTGGCGAATGCGCCGCGAAGAAGGAGAAAGTGAGAGAGCCGCCGCCGAAATTTTATGAGCTGGAGGGGTCGAGTGGGGTGAAGGCGCTGGACATTCGGCAGGGTATGGGGGCGATGCCGGAGGACGGTGACCAGGTTGAGGTGCACTACTACGGTCGCTTAGGGGCGAAGCAAGGGTGGCGCTTTGATTCCACGTATGACCACAAGGATTTTTTCGGAAATCCGGAGCCATACGTGTTTATATTGGGAGACAAGAATGTGATTAGTGGGATCAATTCTGCAGTTCGGAGCATGAAGGAAGGTGGGGTGCGTCGGGTGGTAATTCCGCCATCGCAAGGGTACCAGAACACCAACCAAGGTCCTATCCCGCCTGACTACTTCGACAGACAGAGGCTGTATACCACCATTTTCAATCAGACTCGGCTGGCCAACGGGGAGGGTGACACGCTTGGAACTCTCATCTTCGACATTGAATTGCTCAAGGTTCGCAAGCCGCAGTCTTAACGGTAGTGTAGACGACAGCATTACTCCAATTGTATCCACTGCAAGCTTTCGAGAATTCTATTGCTGCCGCGATTTACTTATAATTGGGTTGTACCAATGCTTTTTCACAGGCAATTCAGGGAAGCATTGCGGTAGTTCACACATTTGTGTACAGATTTTAACTCGATATTACGCAAATTAGGGTTTTCGTGACATAGATTTGTAACCTGTAGGCAATCAACTTGAGTGAGTTCAAAATTGTGCAATCACTCAGATCCTTCGTGTGCGCTTGATCACTGTTTACCGAAATTTCAAGACCATGAAATCGTAAGACTCTCAATCGGAACTGTAGAGTGTTGTTGGCTGATTAGTTTGATTTAACCATCGACATTAGGTTTAAAGAGTTGTGTTGTGGGGTTTCAGTCAGATTTGCCCTTGCTCAACTCGGCAACTCCACTGTGACAATGTGTTGCAATATCGACGATGCATTTTCAAAAATGAGATTTTACTTCCTAGGATTATTCATTCTACAATCAGGTTTCTCTCTTTATTCTATGTTACCTATAAAACTAATCAGATATTTAATCCATGTGTTTGTAGCCTTGACGAGTTTTTTCCATTGCCGATTTGAATGTTTGTTTATCCAAAAGAAAATAAAAATTGTCAAAATAAACTGTACATGACAAAGACTCGTAATGAATGATCAGAAGTGATAAATTAAAAGAAAGAGAAATGTGGAGATTATAAAATAAAAATGTGATATATTTGCTTTCAATAGAAGTTTGGCATTAGGTTTGTTTTTAGAAAACTATCAAATATCTTTAAAACTTTCAAATGTCATTAGTATGAAATACTAAATTTATATGATTATTTGTTTCTAAAACAATTCTTACTTATTTGCTATTCTATGGTTTACAATAAAAATCTTCTTTCTCAATTTAGTTAAGATTTTGAATAGTTTCAAAATTGCAGTGTAGAATAATATTCTCTCGTAAATCAAACAATCATTTTTTATTTTTTATTTAATTTTTTTTCTTTCATGCAAGTTTCTGTAATTACTCTGCTAAATCTGATTTATATGATCTGCTGAATCAGATACTTTATTCATCTATTTAAAGTTTGTATGTAGAAAAATCCAATACAAAAAATATATAAATAAATAATTAATTAATTAATTTTACTATTAATGGATTTATTTAACTTAAAAAGAAAATTTGTTTTGGAGAACTTTTATAATTCATGATAATTTTTACTTTACTTAATAGATGCACAAGTCTCCTAAACTAAGAGTTATAATTAAAAATATTTAATATTGATGGACTTATTCCAATATCTTACTTAGAATTGACACTATAAAAATGTTTGTAAAAAATATCTAAAAAAACTTTAAATCTTGATATCTGATTTTGATAGTACATCAACTAATATACATGATTCTTTTAATGATTAATATATTTACTTTTACTATATATTCAAAATTATAAAACCATAAATAATTCCATAGTAATTATTTTATTTTAAATTAATTTCAAATCTAATTCTAAGTTTCTTTAAGAAATTACTAGGTAATTAATCAGATCTTTTATAATTGATCTTTTAATATTTATTTTAATTTTTTAAGTAATAAAAAATTAATAATATATATAAACATATATATATATATATATATATATATATTCACCAGTTCTAAAATTTATATGAGTTTTATCTGATTATTCTTATGATATTCTATATTTTGAGAAAAAAATCACTTCGAATTTGATTAGTATATTAAAATTAACCATTATTTTTTAGATGGTTTGTTACAAAAAAATTACATAAATTTTAATTCTAATTTTATAAAGCATCTCTTAATATTTTATAAATATAAAAGATAAACTTTTTAAAATACTAAAAACAAATCCCTAATTCATAGGAAAAGTGAGCCATTTTAGCAAAGTAGCCTATAACTACTATAACTGAATCTTAAACATTTGAGATTGAAAGTTGTTTGTTAAAATATATTAATCAAAATATAAATGTAATTCTCTTAGAATAGAAGCTTGTTGATGCAACCATTTGGTTGATGCCTAAAAATCATAGCTCTTGGATGTGAATCATTAGGTTAACCAAAATTCTTTAACAAAAATGTCTAAAATCTCATCTATTAAATATCTCCAAATATAAATTTATTTATTAAATTCGATTTAAATAAATAAAAAAATATTTCATAACAGAAAGATTATGGAAATTTTAAATGATACAAAGATGTGTAACTTTTGGAGATATAGACAATGATTTCTTTTCTAAAAGGCAAATAAAATTGTATTAAAAATCATTATGAATACAATCATTGTTATTCTTTTTTATTACTATTATCTTAAAAGCATTGTTGCTGATTTTCATTGATTTTTTTTTAATCCAAATAAATTATTAAAAGTTTATTTATTTTAATTGCATTGGCTGAAGACAATGTTCTCTTGATTTAATATCTCAGATTATTTTAAACTTTTAAATATTATTTATAAGAAATAGCACCTTGATTCTTCTAAAAAGAAATATTAAAAAGATATATAGTTATTGAGTCAAATCAAAATTACATTATTTTTTATAAAAATGTCTTATTATTTTGTTTACTTAATGTGTGTGTGTATATAATATAATAGACTTGCCTTAAATTTAATTATATGTGCTAGTAGATGTTCCAAAAGAAGCCTAAGGCAATACCCTTGTATGACATTGTTATATAATATGAATTTTAATTTGAAAATGAAAAGAACATTTATTGTATAAGAAAATACTATAAAGCCTATCATTATGTTTAAATCAATTATATAAGGTGCTTAAAACCACTCTTCTTAAACAACCTCAACTCCTCTAAAATCCTAAATCTAACCAACTCTTAACCTAAGAATCTTTAAATTATATGTTCTATCAATTCTATATTCTATTTTATATTAATCCTAAAACCTATATCCTATAGATAATAAAATTTAGATATTGTCAAATCATAAATTCTAGATCCCATCAAATCTTAAAACTTATAGCTTGTTAAATCTTAAAACTTCAAAACAAAAAATCTTAAATAAAATCTTAAATAAAATCTTAAAAAATTCTATCAAAACTCAAGTAAATTTTTAATATATTCTTGATTCAAATTAATAATTTGATGGTAGAAATAATTTCTATTAAATTAATAAATTGACTTCTAATTTTGAGTTGTGATAATTCTTAAGTCACATACTCATTTAACATTATATGACATATACTCAACTTATAAATTATTAATTATTGCAATAAAATGCAAAACAATGTTGCATGACTTCTTATTTTGAACACAATAAAGAATTCTAGTACTTGATTTTTCAAATTCATTTGTAAACTTTCATTCAAAATTAGTATAAGATTTGGTTCAAGTGTGTTTATTCAAATTGTGGATCTTAAAATAGCTAAAAATTTACAATTAACCTTCATTTATCCAATTCTTTTAATTCCTTGGATAAACAATCAAATTGTTTCCAATTGTAAAATTAATATGTCATAAAAGTCAAGAAGCAAATGTCTTATTTTTACATCTACACAATAACAAATGTTAATTACAAATCAAGCACAAGGTACAAATAAATAATCCTAAAAATTTCTTTAGTTATATTGGCTTTAAGACTTTGTTGCCAGCAAAATTCTAACTATAATTACATCATTAAAAGTCTTGTATGCATTATAACCCCACAAAATTTATATTGTTAAAAATTTCTCTAAAAAAATTACTATTGAAATGCACTCCTTAATCTTCTATTAAAACCTTTTGGTACAATAGGTCCTTACTTGTGTGCCTTAAGGTTAAAATCCAACATTGTCTCACAAATGGTTACCTCCTATGTAACCATCTTATTGTAGATTGTAAAATTTTCAAGAAACTAAACTTGAGTTTGTCCTAGAGATAAATAATTGATTTTATTTTTATCTGTTTCATCTTATTTTGATCTATTTATAACCCCACTGATGAAATAGAAGTTTTTCTAATGTAAAAAATAGCATGGAAAAAAAGTTGCAACTGAGCTTGATTTACAAGCTATTGAATTATCCACAAACATATTCACCTGGGGTCTCCATAAAACTTCTGACCAAGAAGATGTAATATAACAGAACTCTTGCATCCCCACCCCATTGTCCACGTCCGTTGTTCGACCATGACTGGCGCCAGTGCGTGATGTGTTTTGGGGGATTTTGCAGGTGGCTCGGAAGGACCCAGTTTAGCATGAGCTTGTCGGCACGGGATTCAGGCCATAGTTTAACAGAGCAAGAACCCAAATAATCCGCCGGTCCGAGTGTCAGATGACACACCGCAGCGCTGGAAGTTATCCGAGCAGAGTCCATTCAAACCTCCCTCCCTCCTTCCCTCGTACGAGAGGGACCGACTCTCATGTCATGTGATGACTTCCCAACTCTTCTTACATGAGTGGACACCATTCCTCTCCCTCTCACGAGCTTACCTTGGTCCTCATCCAACTTCCTGCAAACTTGTCTGCTGTATGATCTGACTGACTGGGCACCCGCCAGATTCCACACGCAATGCCCAACGCAGGTGTGAACCCACTTTATCATCCCATATGAGGGCAGAGGTCACTGCCACGTACCTGGCGTCCTCGCATACGTGACAGCATCCAGCATGAGTATTCTTCACTCCCCTGCACACATTCCTGTCTTCGACCCAACGCAATCCACCTGCTTCAGCATCGTCCTCGCGGAATTGAGCGGTACATTGCGCCGCACATGCGAACGCTGGATGAGCGCGGAAACAAACGGCGGCCGCGCACAACCCTTCGGCAAAACCAGCTGCATTGCTTGGTCTCCACTCTCTCCAAACAAGTGCTGGGGGGTGCGGAGGCAGCGAACAGTGCAATGATTTCTTCGCTTCCCGGCGTCGCTAGTGGCATACACTTTCGAGGTGCATGATCCGGATACCACTCGCAACGTCATTGTGCAGGGCGGTACCAACACGCTGCACTGGCTGGTCTGAAGATGTATTCCCACATAGACAGACACAGTTCATGGTCTGCATGCGTTCCACGACCGGAAGCTGGCGGCTGAAGTCCGAAGCGAAGAAGAAATCGAAGGGCCGACCGAGTGCAGCTGGCCCCTCCGACTCTAGAATGGGGTTCAGCGTGCAGGGCGAACGGAATGCTGGAAGCGGTGCAAAACTGTTCAATGCAAAAGAGCAAGACCGCAACTGCGAGTACGGGGCTCCTCGACCCACATGATGTCCGAGGATATTTAGGGTGCGATTGTACAAACAGGATTCTTCCTGGCAGAGTCATCACGAATTGAGGTGGATGAAACCGTGCAGTGATCCATTCGCTGCACAACTTGCAAGCAAAGCAGAGGACACCGGCTGAGCGCCATGGGGTTCAAACCAAACGGTACGCCAAAGTTGGGCCCCAAGAACAGAGAGCGTCAACATGCAAATCAGGTTGAGGTAAATTTATTTCAATAACTAAAAGAGAGAAACCGGAACAACCAGTTGCTTATTAAATCTATGAAGTTTTGGCAT